TGCGGCCCCCGGGAAGGGCCAGGACGTGCGGGGCTCGCTGCGCGGGCGCCCGCCTTCCCCGGCAGCGCAGCATCCCCCGGCAGCCGGGTCGGCGGGGCGGAGCCCCAGCACCTCTGCGCGGGGCAGGGCAGGGCAGCGCTGCCTATGGGGCCGGCCAGGCTGCCTGTGCCGCATCCTGCCTGCCTGGCACCGGCCTTTGTGCTCCGGTCCAGTGGGCCTCTGTGGTTGCAGCCTCTGCGCAGGCCTCCCCCGTGCCCCTTCCCCTGGCAGCCGCAGGGCACTCCCTGGGCACCCTTCTCCCAGGGCGGGAGTGGAGCAGCTTTGTGACCAGCACCCTCTTGGCTGGGGCCTGCAAGAGCCGGGTGCTGTGGGGGCAGAGGGCCTGTGCTGTGGGAGAGGAGGGTGGGATTTCCTCTGCCAGGGTGGCAGGAGTTGGACGGGTAGCAAAGCGGGGTGCTGTGCTGGGGCAGTGGCTGTAGAGCGGGGAGCCGCAGTGCGGGACTGCACTTGGGGCCAGTGTTAATCTTCCTCCTTTGGGGAAGGGAGAGCCAGCATGGAGGGTGCTGCTTTAGGTGCTGGAAGCTGGGTCCCGATCTCTCTGTGGTTCCTCCCTGCCCAGGGGCGGTGGGTGAAGTGTTGAGCACACCGGGTGTCTCTTCCTAGAGGGGTATTTTGGGAAAAGGGGAAGTAGCCTGGCATGACTACTCCTGGGGAGAGCCAGCTGGGTGCTGTAGTGAGGACAAGCTGGGCACATGGAGCGGGTGCAGGCCTGGCTGAGGGCCCGGGCAGGCCGTGTGGGCACAGGGCTGTGTGCGGCCTGGTTTGCTGCTGCTCTGGGCATGGGAGTGGTGGGGGAAGCTGGGCGCAGGATCCCCTGTTCCTGGAAAGACTGCAGTGGGCTGGCTCAGTGTGGTGCCCTGTGCTGAGGCTTTTGCCATTGTCTTGTGGGCCGGGGGCACGGTGCTCCTCTGGAGGATGGGGCTGTGTGCCTAGCAGGCCTGTTCTTCCAGGCCAGGGTGGGCCTGGCACGAAGCAGAGCTTTGCTGGAAGCGGCACGGAGGGGCAGAGGAGCCGGAAGGCAGTGGGCCTGTCGGGCCCTGCCAGCAGTGGGTGGCTGAGGTGCAGCTGGGGGCTGCTCAGGGCGGGGGCCACCTTCTGCTGACAGGAGCGCGCATACGGGGAGGGGGAGTTTGTTTGGCGGGGGGGGCCACACACCGGGCTTCATGCCTGGTGCTGGGAACCGGCAGGGTTGGCACGACGGCGGAGGCCGGGGCGTGGATGCCCGGGGTGTGCGGGCTGGGTGCGGGTGGTGGTGGCTGGGCGGGGGTGCTGCCCGGGGCCGAGCCGAGCTGACGCGCGCTCCCCGCAGGTGTGGTTCAAAAACCGGCGGGCCAAGTGCCGGCAACAGCAGCAGAGCGGCGGCGGCGCCAAGGCCCGGCCAGCCAAGAAGAAGTCGTCGCCGGCGCGGGAGAGCTCGGGCTCGGAGAGCAGCGGCCAGTTCACGCCGCCTGCCGCCTCCAGCTCCGCCTCGTCCTCCTCGTCCAGTTCCAACTCCTCGGGCCCCGCGGCGGCGGCGGCGGCGGCGCTGGGCAACCCGACGGCGGCGGCGCTGAGCACGCCCGCCTCGTCCATCTGGAGCCCGGCGTCCATCTCCCCGGGCGCGGCGCCCTCGGCCGTGGCCGTGTCGGTGCCGGAGCCGCTGCCGCCCAGCAGCGCTTCGTGCATGCAGCGCTCCGTGCCCGGCGCCTCGTCCGCCTCCTACCCCATGTCGTACGGCCAGGGCGGCGGCTACGGGCAGGGCTACGCCGCGCCGCCCTCCTCCTCCTACTTCGGCGGCGTGGATTGCAGCTCCTACCTGGCGCCCATGCACTCGCACCACCACCCGCACCAGCTCAGCCCCATGGGCCCGTCCTCCATGCCCGGCCACCACCACCACCCGCTGAGCCAGAGCTCGGGCCACCATCACCACCACCACCACCACCAGGGCTACGGCAGCGCGGGGCTGGCCTTCAACTCCTCCGACTGCCTGGACTACAAGGAGCCCGGCGCCGCCGCCGCCGCCTCCTGGAAACTCAACTTCAACTCCCCCGACTGCCTGGACTACAAGGACCAGGCGTCCTGGCGCTTCCAGGTGCTGTAGGGCCCCGGCCCTCGCCCTCGCCCTCGCCCTCGCCCTCGCCCGCCCCGCCGGCCCGGCCGGCCCCGCACCGACTCTTATTTATTGGCCCG